GGTCGGGTGCGGGCGGCGGCACAGAGTGCCGCGGAGAGGCCCGGTCTGAAGCTGGTACTGGCAGGTCACAGCACCGGGGCCGCCGGTAGACGCCAAGCTGCGCGGGCCACCACCACGGCCACTACCTCCGGAGGTGCCGGGCCAGCCAGCCGGGAGACGGGCCCACTGCTGCGGCGACTGCTGCTGGGACGGCGGCTGCTGCTGGGGCGGCGGCTGCTGCTGGGGCTGCTCCTGCTACGGCTGGGGCTGCTGCTCCTGCCCACCGGTGGTAGTCCCCTCAGGCAGACTACCGTCACGACCACCACCACCACCACTACTTGCACCACCACCCCTACCTCCCTGACGACCACGGCCACCACGGCGCGAGTGCTGCTGCGGGTGGACCGCAGCAGCCGTCTCGGTGAGAGGGGTTGCCGTGGCGACCGCAGCCGAAACGTCAGTGAACGTGCACCGGGAGGGGGCACAGCCGTGAAAGATAAAGACTGCCGGCGCACCGCTCGACTGAGCGATAGTGCGCTGGCGAGTCTCGATCTTGCTGAGGGTATCGACAAAGGCGGTGAGGGTGAGATCACCCGCGTGCTGGCTAAGGAAGTGATCGTCAGCACTAGCGAGGCGGTCTTGCAGGCGCATGGCGATAAAATAGAGCGTCATGCAAAAAGGGGGGGGGAGTGCAGTGAGCTGGGCAGCAGTGCTGGCAGTGCGATAGCGGGTCTCTAGGGCACGCAGGTGAGTAGCAAAGGCTGCGACGGTAGGGAAGGCTGCAAGGTTTGGGAACAGCATCGGGAAGAGCAAGCGGCCAGCAGAAGCAAACGCGGGTGTGGAATAGCGAGCAATAACGGCATCTAAGTAAGCTTTGGCCATCTCAACAGTAGCAAAACGCGAGCGCTCAGACACAGGGAGGGCGTGACTAATAGCAACCTGAGCTACTGCACCGCGGGAGTCCCAGACCGCACAGGCAAGCGCAGCAGTAGAGAAGGCCTCACGGTCATCAGAGGAGGGATCAGCAGGGAGGGGAGCAGGGGCAGGGGGGCGGGGGAGCAAGCCATCGACATGGACAACCAAAGAGTGGCCATCCTGGCGCTGACCTGTAAGGTGGTGGCGGAGATCGAAGAGCCAGGCGGCGAAGTCAAGCGCATGGCCCTCGGTGTCCAGTCGGAGCACGAAGTCAGCCATCGTGCAGGGTGAGCGGCACAGCTCCACAGGAACACAGCGACGCAGGGACATGGCGGTAGCACTCTCCAGCACGGCGGCCACGAGGCGCCCCAGCACTGGCGAGCAGAGTAGACGAAGCCCGAGGTGGCACGGCAGGACGAGCAGGCACGAAGATGGGCCGGGCGGGCAGTGGGAGAGGCCAGGCAGACGCGGCGAGGCCAGGCAGGCGCGGAGGGGCCAGGCAGGCGCGACAGGGCCAGGCAGGCGCGGCGGGGCCAGGCAAGCGCGGAGGGGCCAGGCAGGCGCGGCGGGGCTAGGCAGGCGCGGAGGGGCCAGGCAGGTGCGGCGGGGCCAGGCAGGCGCGGTGGGGCCAGGCAGGCGCGGCGGGGCCAGGCAGGCGCGTCGGGGCCAAGCAGGCGCGGCGGGGCCAAGCAGGCGCGGCGGGGCCAGGCAGGCGTGGCAGGGCCAGGCAGGCGCGGCAGGGCCAGGCAGGCGCGGAGGGGCCAGGCAGGCGCGACGGGGCCAGGCAGGCGCGGCGGGGCCAGGCAGGCGCGGTGGGGCCAGGCAGGCGTGGCGGGGCCAGGCAGGCGCGGCGGGTCCAGGGAGGCGCGGCGGGGCCAGGCAGGCGCGGCGGGGCCAGGCAGGCGCGGCGGGGCCATGCAGGCGCGGCGGGGCCAGGCAGGCGCGGAGGGGCCAGGCAGGCGCGACGGGGCCAGGCAGGGCGCGACGGGGCCAGGCAGGGCGCGACAGGGCCCAGGAGGGGCGCGACAGGGCTAGGAGGCGCGACGGGGCCCAGGAGGGGCGCGACGGGGCTAGGAGGCGCGACGGGGCCCAGGAGGGGCGCGACGGGGCTAGGAGGCGCGACGGGGCCCAGGAGGGGCGCGACGGGGCTAGGAGGCGCGACGGGGCCTAGGAGGGGCGCGACGGAGCTAGGAGGCGCGACGGGGCCCAGGAGGGGCGCGACGGGGCCTAGGAGTGGCGCGACGGGGCTAGGAGGCGCGACGGGGCCCAAGGGGGGGAGGGGGGGGCGCGGCGGGGCCTAGCTAGGGTACGGGCGGAAGCGTTAGGTGGGGGATTCTAACCTACGCATGATACCATGTTAAAGTAAGAACTGAATAATTTACTAGAAGTTGAAACCTAGAACAAATACTAGTTGGTTGTACTCACTAGAAGCATACCTGAGTCTAGCCTATAACTTCTACATAGCTAATATGTATAAGTTGACACAATGAACCAGCGCCCCACATACAACCCGGGGATGCGGATGGTCGTCCACAGCGCCTGCTTCAAGTACGGCCCTTTGGCAAACGCTACGGCGCTGCTATTCGCCACCGTCATCTTGAACAGCGGCTGCCTCAGCTGTGTGCCCATCGCCACCCTCTGCTTTATCTGCCGCATATGCAGAACGGTCATGCGCTTGCGCTGGATGTGGAAGGTCGTGATGTTGTACACTGTGGGGATGCTGCTACTCTTAGTGGGGATCCTCTTAGCGAGGGCCTCTGCCTGCACGTTTTTTAGGGATGAGGATGGACGCGTCTCGCAGCGCCGACAGGTCGTACTTGGAGTTCACTGAGGGGGGAGAGGGGAGAGGGGAGAGAGGGGGAGACGGTTTAGGAGAGAGCATTGAGTGAAATTGGAAAGGGAAGATGGACACGTCTTGCAGTGCTGACAGGTCCTACATGGAGTTCACCGAGAGGGATGGGGGCGAGGCGGTGGGGGTGGGGGGGTGGGAGGAAGGGTCGTAAAGCGTTGAGTGATTTTGGAAAGACAGGGAAATAGGGCTCAAATGAGTCTGGATGAACACTGAACGGTCCTTTGAAATCAATCAGGCTGAATAAAGCTGCTGGTCCAAGGTCTTACGAGCAAGGTTGATGTACTTGGAGGCGTCCTGCGCGTATCTAGGGCCACACGGAGATGAGGAGGGATGAGATTGGGGCACTCACATGCAATGTTGATGTACTTGGACGCGTCCTGCGCATATCTCCCGTACTGCGGGTACCGCTTCACGATGCTCTTAGTCATCGCCTGCAGCTCCGCGCGCAACTGCGCATTCGTCGGCGGAGCGGGCGCCTTCTGCGCGCTGCTCGCCGGCAAGCACGCTGCAGCGACGCACACGACTACTAGTGCGAGGAGCAAGCCGCGTCCGAACCGCGCCGCCATTTTAGGTGATTGCTTCGAGCTTCGGGCACGTCTTTGGGCTTGCGGATGCTTTCGCACTGAAGGGATCATGCGGATTGGTGAACTTAGGGAACAATCGATCGCTCGTCTGAGGGTGCACGCGGATTGCAGATGATGGACGTGTATAGCTGAACTTAGTGCTCGGCTGGTTGGTACACGTGATTATGAGCGGGATCGAATGGTTGGTAGTTGGACTTGTCGTTGCTGGCTGTGGCGACAGCTAGGTCGTCGTTGTATTAGCCTATATTTACGGATCTGATAAATTGTGTTGCTAGAAGGCTGTTGTTTTAATTAATGTAGAGTCGCGCTGAACCGTATTTATAAATAATGCGAGGTATGTCTTGGCCAGATTGTCTTGACCAGATCGTCCTGACCAGATCGTCCTGACCAGACGCCCCTTTCCGAATAATGCCCAGAAGCATGACGACTCGCCATCGACACGCGAGGAAGCTGAGTCGCCGCCAAACAGCCGTGCCGCGCCGGTTCGGTGCGTGATGGCTGTCAGCAACCCAGTCACTAACCACTGGGTTAAAAGGGCTTGTTGAATAGCGGGTAAGTGCGCCCATAGCCCCCCAGGCTCTGCACCTGTGGCCCTTCCCGAGGATCTCAAGGTCAACCCCAGCGGGTCACTCAACAATGGCTGGCCGCATAGCGCGACAACACGCAGTACGATAGTGGGCGGACGAGGCGCGAACACGACCTTGTCTCTGTTCGATCCCAGGAGGATGCTACAACAAGCAAAGACCTGCTGTGCGGGGAGTCGGGCGAGGACCATTCGGCTAAGAGGGGGTGGCGATTGATGCGGATGCGACGAGCCGACGGCGCGGATGCGACGAGCCGACGGCGCGGATGCGACGAGCCGACGGCGCGGATGCGACGAGCCGACGGCGCGGATGCGACGAGCCGACGGCGCGGATGCGACGAGCCGACGGCGCGGATGCGACGAGCCGACGGCGCGGATGCGACGAGCCGACGGCGCGGATGCGACGAGCCGACGGCGCGGATGCGACGAGCCGACGGCGCGGATGCGACGAGCCGACGGCGCGGATGCGACGAGCCGACGGCGCGGATGCGACGAGCCGACGGCGCGGATGCGACGAGCCGACGGCGCGGATGCGACGAGCCGACGGCGCGGATGCGACGAGCCGACGGCGCGGATGCGACGAGCCGACGGCGCGGATGCGACGAGCCGACGGCGCGGATGCGACGAGCCGACGGCGCGGATGCGACGAGCCGACGATGCGGTGTGCGACGCCTGTGATTCGGTGACGGAGTTGCGGGGAAGCTCGCAAACCAAAATCCCTCGGAGGTGTAGTTTCCAATAATATACTACAGCACATATGACCTATCAGCTGGGCTTGACCTTGACATCGATTCAGGAAAGTTGAGATGAGCAAAAGGTGAAACAAACTGGATTTTCTAGATGAATAGTCCGGTAGGCTCACACAATCACACTCGAGGATCTTCATGGGGGCCAGGAAACAATGTCAAAACGCTGCCCCGAGTGAGGATCGAACTCACGACCTTAGGATGGCTCCGTCCCACTTTCAAGGGAGTCGGGATGCTATGAGACCTACGCGCTACCGACTGCGCCATCGAGGCTTGTGACATTCCGTTTAAAAACATTTAATTTAGTTTTTAGTACTCCTTTGCCCCCTTCTGAATCTACTGATGTTTCCGCTGTGATGGCTTGTCAGTCCGCCAAGTCTACGCTACCCGAAGGTGTGGAAGTGATAGTGTGCGACGACGATCAGGACGAAGTAGCGAAGGCCAGCGACAGATCCGCTGACAGGAATCGGGGTGCTAAACTCCTCAGAATCGACTACGACAGTGGCGAAGAGCAGGAGGAGGAGGAGGAGGAGGAGTACGGGGAGTATGAGGAAGAAGAGTATGAGGAAGAGGAGGAGGTAGAGGAGGAGGAGGAGGATGACGATGATGATCTCATTATGTTTGACAGCAACCCGGATTCCCGTAAGGCGGATTCGTCCGTTGCGGCTTCCACTGGAAACACAGGATTCGCTGGGAGCACGCGTGGAGGATCAAGTGCACTTGCGGAGGCTTGCACTGTAGCCGCTCGCTCAAGGGCTGAGATAGAAACTGATTCGAAGACTGATTTAGGTTCTCGATTAGCAACTGATTTAGGGACGGGTTTCGAGACTGGCTCGCGAAGCGTGTCCAGGCGTGGTTGCGATCGCGAGGGCTTGGAGGCGACAGCCGGCGACGTCAGCTGTGGGCTGGATTCAATTTTAGCTCCGAATGCTTGCACTGTAGCCAGTCGTTCGGGGACTGGATTAGGGATTGATTTAGGGACTGATTTAGGAGGCGACTCGCAGCAAGCAGTGGATCATAGTCGATCAGATAGTCGAGCTGACGCAGCAGCTTATAAGCAAGGTGACTCTGGAACTCATGAAGAAGCTTATAGAGGAGCAGATGCAGAAGCTTGTAACGAGGATGCTAGAGAGGTCAGAATAAAAGCTGAGGTGCAAGCGGAAGCATGTGCGGCTGCTGAAAGCGAAGCGGGTAGACAGGCGCCTGAACCTGCGCCTGAACCTGCGCCTGAACCTGCTCCTGAACCTGCTGACGCAGAAGTCTCTGCAGAAGGTCGAAACGAGGCACGTGAGGTTGCTGCTAGAGAGGATACGATGGAAGTTGAGGAGCAAGCGGAAGCAGATGGGGTGGCTGAAAGCGAAGCGGCTAGACCAGCGGCTGAACCAGCGGCTGATGCAGAAGTCTCTGCAGGAGCTCGAAACGAGGGTGCTAGAGAGGGTAAGATGGAAGCTGAGGAGCAAGCGGATGCATGTGCGGCTGCTGACAGCAAAGTGGGTGCGCGAGCAGGTGAACAAGCTGAGCCGATTGAGCTGCCTGCCACACCAGCAGCAGGAAGCAGCGCAGATCCAACGGCTAGGATCTCTCATCCGGCAGAGGGAGCTGCTAGGAGGAATCTGCAATTCCAAGCAGAGGAGCAGCAGGAGGTCTTGAGATCACGTGAAGCGGAGGAGCAGGAATCTCTGGAGAGAGGAGCACGCGTGGTCAGTACCGCCTCAGCTTCTGGAAGGTTCGAAATATCTGAGAATCCGGCTGTGAGCTGTGGAGGGCTGGAGAATGAGGAGAGGGCGAGGGGGGTGGAAAATGAAGGGATGATAAGGGGGGCGGGAAATGGGGAGAGGACGAGGGGGGTGGTAAGGGGGTTGGAGAATGAGGAGAGGACGAGGGGGGTAGGAAATGAGGACATTATAAGGGAAGGCACGTTGAGGGAACGAGATGGCGTTGGTGCGAATCGTGAAGGTGATAACATGGAACGTGACAGTATCGATGGTGATAAAAGTGCTGCTGATAGGAACGAAGGTGACACCAATAATAGAGGAAGGAGTGTAGCCGCTGATGCTGATGCTGCTGCTGCTGCTGCTGCTGCTGCTGCTGTTGTAAATGATGGTGCTACTGATGCTGCTGATTTTGGTGCGGCTGACGTAGGTGCTGATGCTGTTGCTGCCGATCTTCTTGCGGCCTATGGGGATACAGATGGAGAGGAGGAGGAAGAGAGTGAGAGGGAGGAGGACAGGGAGGAGGAGGAGAAGGAGGAGGAGGAGAAGGAGGAGGAGGAGAAGGAGGAGGAGAAGGAGGAGGAGAAGGAGGAGAAGGAGGAGAAGGAGGGAGTGGAGGAGAGAGAGGAAATGGAGGAGGGGTTAGTGGAGGAAGAGGGAGTGGAGGAGAGGGAGGAGGATGATGATCTGGTGTGGGGAGTTGCTGACGACATGAGGCGGATGTGGGAGGCTGCTGCTGCTGCCAACGCTGCTGCCCTGCGTGCTGCCATTGCGGGTTCTGCTGCTGATACTGCTGCCGTTAAAGGGGGCGCGGGTGGGGAAGTAGAGGAGGAGGACGAAGAGGAGTATGAGGAGGAGGAGGATGAAGAAGAGGAGGGGGAAGTGGAGGAGGAAGAGGAGGCGGGAGAGGAGGAGGAAGAGGAGGAGGGAGATGATTTGGTGTGTGGTGATGCAGAGGAGATGAGGCGAGTGTGGGAGGCTGCTGCACTGGCGAGGAGGGCGAAGAGGCAAGCGCAGTGGCACTCGGAGCAGCAGAAACGGATGGAGCAGCAGCTGCTGCAGCGGCAGCAACGAGAGCAGGCGCAGCAGCTTTGGCTGCAGCAACTGCAGCAGCAGCAGCAACATCAGTTTCAGCACCAGCAATGGCAGCAGCATCAGCGGCAGCGGTGGGGAGAGGCGGAGAGTCTTAGCAGTGACGAGGATAGCAGGGGAGAGGCGCATGTTCCTAGAAAGACTGCTGGTGCGTTTGTTGCTGGTGCGTTTGCTGCTGGTGCTTTCAGAGTGCAGGGAGCCAAGGGTGCAGCGATCAGAGCAAGCCATAGAGGGGAGGAGGCAAAGGGCGGAAGAGGGGGCACTGGGGGGGCTGGTTTGGGGAGGAGTGTGCATGTGAGATACGAGGTGGTTGATGTTGATGACTCAGATTCCAGTCACGATGGTGAGTCAGACGCATCTACTGCTAAGGGCAGGGCGAGTAATCGAGAAGCTACTGCTGGCCCATCCGCTGCTGCTGGAGACTCAGCCTCAGTGGCAGCCCTGGCAGCAGCCTCGGCGGCAGCTTCGGTGGCAGCTTCGGTGGTGTCACGGGGCACCAAGCTTGGGAAGAGGAGGAGGAGTTTCAAATGGGGCCAGGACCCGGATGATGGGTTGTTCAGTTACCCGGTTGGTAGGGGTGGTGGGGGAGGGCGTGACAGCAGCGGGAGTGAGGGGAGCTTTGAGGCGCGGGTTTGCAGGGAGTCTGCAGCAGCCTGGGCGTCAGGTGAAGGGGCGTGTGGGGCAGATGTAGCATCACGTGGGAGAGCAGGTGCAGGTGCAGGTGCAGCAGCAGCAGCGGGTACATGTACAGGCACAGGTGCAGGTGCAGGTGCAGGTGCAGGTGCAGGTGCAGGTGCAGGTGCAGGTGCAGGTGCAGGTGCAGGTGCAGGTGCAGGTGCAGGTGCAGGTGCAGGTGCAGGTGCAGGTGCGGGTGCGGGTGTGGGTGCGGGTGCGGATGCGGGTGCAGCAGCAGGTACAGCGGAAGGCACAAGAGCAGGCACAACTGCACATGGAGCAGCAGAAAGATTAGCAGAACGAGTGGCTTCGGGAGCAGCAGGAGTAGAAGGAGCAGCAGGAGCAGGAGGAGAAGAAGGAGCAGGAGGAGCAGAAGGAGCAGCACATGCAGCAGAAGAAGCAGCAGCAAAGGCGGCAGCAGACAGAGAGACACAAGCAATGGCACACAAGAAGGCACGGGTGGGCGAAACAGCAGTACACAGAGCAGCAGGAGCAGCAACAAGCACAGCAGCAGGAGCAGCAGCAGCACCTGCAAGTGCAGCATATGCAGCAGCGGACAGGAGTGGAGTAGAAGCAGCAGCAGCGAACAGGAGTGGAGTAGAAGCAGCAGCAGCGAACAGGAGTGGAGTAGAAGCAGCAGCAGCGATGGCTGCTGAGACAAAAGCAGCAGCAGGAGAGGCGAGGGCGGAGGAGCAGACGCAGGGGAGCATGAGTGGAGAGCAGAGGGCGCGCGGGGATTGTTTCGAGGAAAGTGGGGGTTTGGTGGGCGGTTGGACAGAAGTGGGCGTTGAGGAGAGCGGAGGAATGGAAAGAGGGGGGGGAGGCGGAGGGAGAGGGGGTGATGCTGAAGGGGTAAGGGATGACGGGAATGGAGAGCGACAGGGGCCTCCTGGACTAGGGCAAAGGGGGCTGGATGCACGTATGAGGGTGCCCAAGAGGCACCGGAAGGCTGATGGGATGACGGCTGATGGGAGGGCGGCTGATGGGAGGGCGGCTGATGGGAGGGCGGCTGATGGGAGGGCGGCTGATGGGAGGGCGGCTGATGGGAGGGCGGCTGATGGGAGGGCGGCTGATGGGAGGACGGCTGGAGAAAGCAGTATGGAGGAGAATGAGAGGGAGGATGAAACAGGGGAGAAGGGAGATGGCGGGGAAGGGGGACACTCGAGGGAGAAGGAAGCAGGGGAAAGGGGAGACAAAGAACAGCAAAGGGTGGTGGAAACAAGGGAAGAAGTTGGGGAGGGAGAAGTGCGAGCAGCACTGGCAGGAGCGGCAGTGGAGATGGGGAGGGAGGCGATGCGGCAGAGTGAGGGGTTCCAGAGTATGGAGGACGAGGAGTGGAGGGAGCGGCAAAAGGTGCTGCAGCAGCAGGCGGGGGAGGCCCAGGCAGAGAAGAGGAGGAGACGGGCAGAGCGCACTGAACGTGAGAGGCTGGAACGGATGGAGGCTCGGCAGCAAAAGCGCGTGGAGGAGGTTCGGCAGCAGCAGGAGCAGGTTCGTATCTGCAGCCCAATGTGCTTGGCGCTTGCTTCCTTACTTCTTTGCACCCCTTGCTGTTTCTGTTTTCCCTGTATTGATTCCCTTTATAACGCGTCGTATATAAGCATACGGTCTGCTTATTTGCCCGTCCCTCTTCCACTCCTCAGGTGGAGCGGGCAACAGGTCTCAAGAGCAGCTGAGAGCATCTGTGCACAGTGACCTTTTGAAGCAGCCTGGCAGGTGGCATGACTGTCCCTTCCCGTTTTTGTGTCTATTCCTGCATCTGTGCTGTCTCTTGCGCTTTTCAGGTGGAGCGCGCAACGGGCCTGAAGGAGCAGCTGCGAGCATCGGTGCACGGCGACCTCTTGAAGCGCCTGGCAGGCTGCCGAGACTTTGCCTCTGTCCTGGACAAGATTGGGATCAAAGTGGATGGCATGCCGCAGCCAACGAGTCAGCAGGTGAGAGAAATACGCTGGACTTGCACTCGGGTCGTTCAACAGTGCCTGGGATCTCGCCAAGTTCATGGCTCCTTGCATTTGCTCCTTTCTGAGTGCTCGTCTCATTTCCCACTCTTCCGCCACACCTGGCAGGTTGAAGCAGCTTTCAAAAAGGCCCTGCTTCGGTATCACCCAGACCGGATGGCGAGGCTCGGGGCAGGGGCGGATGCACGGAAGCAGGTGGAGGCGGAGGAGACGTTCAAGATGATGCTTGAGAAGAAGAAAACGCTTCACCTTGTTGCACCACCTGCCCCTCCTGTTGCTGCTCCAAGCTACCCTGAGTATAATCTGCCAAATTTTCAGAAGCCCAAGTTCGGTAGGAGGCGGTATTACTGGTGAATGGCCAAGGTTTGTACCTAAATTTGTTATCTGCTTGTGAGCGTCACTGCTCTGCTGGGAATTGCAAAATGCACCAGAATTCCAGTTCACCCAAGGCTGTGTCCACTTCGAGGTTGTGTCCACAAACTGCCGAAAGCTAAGTTTGTTACGAAACCTTCCATTGTTCCCCCCCTCCCCCCCCCCCCCCCTGTCGTGGCACTAGGATAACTCTGTCGATCCTCTTTCTCTCCCTAGGGAGGGTACTGGGGAGGCTTTCCCTGGGGAAGGTGGATATATGGAGCCTAACCCTCTTGATGACATCCCTTCTGTTAACGTAGAAACGAATGATTACTAGAGGTGGAAACCTAGAACAAATACTAGTTGGTTGTACTCACTAGAAGCATACCTCAGTCTAGCCTATAACTTCTACATAGATAATATGTATAAGTTGACACACCCCCTAGGCTAGACAAGGGGTGAAACTAAACAAGAAGCAAACAGCTCAGGGCGGCACTACTAGTCCAACCACTGAAGCAGGGGTCTGGAGACCAGTCAGCAAGAATACAACCAAAACTGAAGCAAGCCAGGGTGGCACTACTAGTCCAGCCACTGGAGGTAAGGCCACAAGGCCAGTCTGACAAGCATATATAATAGAGAGTACACAATCAGGATCCTAACAGGGGAGCAGCTATAGGAACAAGACCAAGCTGTACACAGTGCCGCTGATGATCTTTAGGCGCAAGCGCCTTAGTAAAGATATCAGCTGTGTTGGCACCTGAGGCCAAGTGAACTACGCGGGCCTGGCGGCGCTGCTGTAGCTCGCGCAGGAGGAAGTACCGCAGCTGGATATGCTTCGCTCTGCCCTCAAGCCGAGGCTCCTGACACAGGAGTATCATGGCCCTGTTGTCAGCGTACAGGACCGGGGCAGAGCTAGGCCGCTCACCTAAGTCTGTGAGCAAGAAGGTCAGCCAGCGGAGCTCCTGTGCCGCCATGGCACCAGCGTAGATCTCAGCCTCACAGCTAGACTGAGCCACAGACGACGAGCGAGTGGATCTCCAAGAGATAGCACCCGAACCAAGGCTGAAACAGTAGCCCTGCGACGACCTGAGCGTCTCAGCGTCGTCTGCCCAAGAAGCGTCTGTGTGCCCAGTAAGGACCACTGGCCTGCGTCCTCCTAGCACTAACCCCATGCCTGATGTACTAGCAAGATAACGCAAAACCCTCTTAGCGGCAGACCAGTGCTGAGGTCGGTGTCTGCCTGTAGCCACAAAGCGAGCCAGGATGCTGAGAGGGTATGCGAGATCTGGGCGAGTGCAAGTCATCAGGTACATGAGGCAACCCACCAGCTCTGCGTAGGGGCCACTGGGCTCTACTGGCTCCTCAGGAACGGGAGCAGAGAGCCCATGGTCTACGGGTAGAGGTGTGGGCTGTGCGGAGGAGAACTGAAGACCGAACCTCTGAAGGACCTGACGCACCAAGTGTGACTGGGTCAGAGTGATGGTGCGTGCTGCTCTGTCCCTAGAGATCTGCAGGCCAAGATAGCGACGCAGCTCTCCAAGGTCAGTGCAGGTGTGTCTCTTCAGCAGCTCAGCCTTCACAGAGGCCAGTGCGTCCCTGTCAGGAGTAGCGAAGACCAGGTCGTCTACGTAGACAAGGATGTAGAACGGAGTCTGGCCGGAACGCACAAACAGTGAAGGGTCAGCAGAGGACGGAAAGAACTGCAGGTCTGCTAACGTGGCACGTAGCGTGTCGTGCCACTCGCGGGGAGCCTGACGCAGGCCGTAGACCGGGCGCCTGAGAAGCCACTGGGTCCCAGGAGGGAAGGTACCAGTGAAGCCCTGTGGTCGGCGCAGGTAGACCTGCTCGTGTAGGCTGCCCTGAAGAAAGGCAGTAGAGAAGTCGAGAGAGTGAAGCTCGTAGTCACGCTGTGCTGCTACGTGTAGCAGCGCCCGAAGAGTGGTCATCTTCGGGGTCGGGGCGAAGGTCTGGAAGAAGTCAACCCCCTCGCGCTGACTGAAACCTCTGGCCACGTAGCGCGCCTTGAAGACAGGCGGCTCTCCAGGGGGGCGCTTCACCTTGAAGAGCCACCGACCATCGACTACGTTCACCCCAGGCGGGGGAACTGCGTCGACGTAAGTGCCGGTGGATCTCCAAGATGCCATCTCCTGCTCCATGGCAGCTATCCACTGAGAGGCCCAAGGTCCCGAGGTGGCCTCAGCGTAGGTGCGAGGGGTCGGGATGTCGAAGGCGTCTGGGTCACCCTCAGGGACTAACAGCATGGAGCAGAGATGGGGAGCAGCCTCGGAAAGGAAAGCCAGCTCGTACTGCCTGTCCTCTAGGACGTCACTGCCAAGGGCAGGAGCACCCCCGACGGACAGAGGACTGGCAGGGTCAGAGACCAGAGCGGTAGCGTAGTCAAGGCGGCGGGTAGAAGCGAAGTCAGCGACAGCAGCGACAAGCGCGTCAAGGCGCGAGACAGGAACAGCAGGGTCGGTAACAAGAGAGGCAAGGACCCGAGGGACAAGGGGACGAGCAGCACGGAGGTAGTCAGAGAACGGAGGAGGTGCAACAGCAAGGGACGAGGGAGGAGGGGACGGGAGGAGGGGAGGACGAGACGAGTGGGAACGGAGCAACATAGGGTGGGTGGGCAGGACAGGAGAGACGGGACGGGCACGGGAGGGACGGCGAGCCCAAACGTGAGACGGAGGGGTAGGGTCAGGGGACAGCGGAGGAGACACAGGAGGGGAACGAGGAGGAAGACGGGCCGGAGACGAGTCTGGCGGCGGGAACACAGGACCGTAGACAGGGAGGTCAGGAGGCGGTGGGGGAGACACCAGCGCGCGGTCCGGGGAGGGAAGGCCGAGCAGGCGGAGAGCGGAAACCGGCGGCGACGGCTGCTGTGGCGGCGACGACGGCTGGGCCGGAACTCTCGGACCAGCAGAGGCAGAACGACCGTCGGCAGAACACTCAACAGCAGCACCCCCAGAACCAACACCCCAAGAGCGAGAACCCCTCCAACACCAGCGGCACCCCAGAAGCCGCAGGACGAACACCCTCCTCCACACCAGCACCCCCAGGGGCCGAGAGCAGCGGCGGCAGTGGCGGCGACAGCGGCGACGGCTGCGGCGGCGACGGCGACGGCGGCGGCAGCGGGGTCGGCGACTGCGACAGTGGGGGCGGAGGCACCGGGGAAGGGGGACGCGGCAAGGACGGACCGGGGGTACCACCAGAGTCAGCAGACTCCTCAACGGGGACAACCGACGGGAGGGGAGTGACGTGGGAGACACCAGACGGGGCAGGACGAGGCGGGAGAGGGGCAGGGGCTACCGGGGGAGAGGGAGCAAGGAAAAGGGGGGGGGCAACTGGGAGACCTCGGTGAGGGAAGCGGCGGTAGAAGGAGACGGACTCGTCAAAGGTGACGTCACGAGAGTGGAGGAAGCGGTGAGACGGCGGGTGGTAGAAAAGCCAGTCAGACGAGTCCAGGGGGAAACCGAGGAAGACACAGGGGACAGTGCGGGCAGTGAGCTTGTCCGTGCCAGAGGCACGAAACGTGAGCAAGGCAGCCCCAGACGTGGAACGCAGACGCGTCACCGGGGGACCCGGTCCAAAGGAGGGTCGGCGAAACCTGCGGCCGCTGGGAGCGTGGCCACAGGTTAAGCTGGTGAGCCGCGTAGCGAACAGCGAACGGCCACAGAAAATGGGGGGCATCGGCATGGATCATGGAGGTACGGGCGACCTCCATGACCAAGCCGATGCGGCGCTCAGCAACCCCATTCTGCTGTGGCGAGTCCGGCAAGGTGTACGACTGGGTGATGCCCTCCGCACGACAGAACTGTCCAAGCCGACCAGAGGCGAACTCGCCGCCACGGTCGGAGTGGAGACACAACACGGGGAGGCCGCGGTGGAGACGCGCAGCTACAACCCACGGGAGAAGAACGTCGGGCACGTCGGCCTTCCGCTCCAGGGGAAACACCGTGGTGTAGCGCGTGTAGTCGTCAACGAGCACAAGGAAGTAGCGCTCACCGCGCGGTCCGGGGACGGGGGCAGGGCCCCAAACGTCCAAGTGCAGGGTCTGAAGGGGGGCAGTAGCAGGACGCAGCGAGGAGGAGTGAGGAGCACGGCGGAGCCGACCCTCGACGCAAGGCGTGCACGGTGGCGCAGTCGAGGGAGGAAGGGCAGGGAGCGACGCGGGGAGACCTAAGACAAGACCGTGCTGGGACATGTGACGCAGACGCGGGAGAGCAGGGTGACCTAAGCGGTGGTGCCAGAGAAGGTAC